CCTTTTTAATGCCGCGATCCCCAACCGGTCGTAAGTCGAGGACTACTCAACTGGGGCAGCACTGTTTGCAGAATGGGACTTTTAGCGGGCTCAGCAGGGCAGAGACAGCCTGGACCATTCCTATTGGCTTTTGAAAGCCAATAGAATTAGACTCTATTCAAGAGAGTCTATTCGATTGGCTTTCAAAAGCCAATAGAATAAAAGGGAGTAGCATAGCTAAGGAAAAGGGGGAAAAAAATGGCGGACTGCGTTGTTCGGCAACCCCCGTGAAATGGTCGTTCGACCCCAAATGGGGTCCCGACCCACAGGTGGAGAACCACTGCCCTATTTCAAACTGACTGGTTACACAATCACATTTTTCTAGGTGGTCACTCCCTTCCAGAATTGGGGCATGCGGTTTCTTAGTGGGTGAACCATCACTTTGATCATTAGCTCGTCAGTTTGATGCGGAGCGTGAGGCTTATAGAGAAGGAGCAGAGTGAAACATTGGCAAAAGTTCAGAAAAGAGCAACTAAGATGATTAAAGGCCTGGACGCTGAAACATATAAGGAACGGTTGCTGGAATTGGGTAGGTCTAGTTTAATGGATGACGGGGGACATGAAAGCAGTGTCCCAATATTTGAGGGGCTGCCCCAAAGAAGAGGGAGTCAAGCTATTCTCCAAAGCGCCTGAAGGCAGAACAAGAAGCAACGGGTGGAAACTAATAGAACTAGAACCAAGGAGAAACTTCCTGACAGTGAGAACAATTAATCGGTGAAACAGCCTGCGTCCAGAAGCAATAAATGCTCCAACACTGGAAGTTTTTAAGAAGAGACTGGACAGCCATTTGTCCGAAATGGTGTAGGGTTTCCTGCCTGAGCAGGGGGTTGGACTAGATGTCCTCCAAGGTCCCTTCCAACTTTACTACTATTACTATTACTAATCAAGGATAGAAGCAACCTGGAATTAAGGAGAAACTTCCTAATGGTGAGGACAATTAATCAGTGGAACAACTGGCCTCCAGAGGTTGTGAGTGCTCCATCATTGGAGGTTTTTAAGAAGAGACAGCCATTGGTCTGAAAGGGTATAGGGTCTGTTGCTTGAGCAAGTGGTTGGACTAGAAGACCTCCAAGGTCCCTTCCAGCTCTATTCTGATTGAAATCAAAACAACTGTCTGGCATCCACCGCACAGAATTCATTGCTGTCTTTGAGAACTTTTAAGCAGCCAACTCAGCCTGCACGGAAGAAAACCGTGTCAGATCAGACACATCATTTCTGCTCAGTTAAGGAAGTTGGAGAGGTTTGGAAAATTGGACACTACATCTGGCTACACCTGAAGGCAGGACAAGAAACAACAGGAGGAAACTAACCAAGGAGACAAGCAAGCTAGAAATAAAAAGAAATTTCCTGACAGTGAGAACAATTGGAACAGCTTGCCACCAGAAGTTGTGGATGCTTCATCATTGGAAGTTTTTAAGAAGAGGCCAAAGAGTCAGTTGTCTGAAATAGTATAGGTTCTCCTGCTTGAGTAGGGGGCTGGACTAGAAGACCTCCAAGGTCCCTTCCAACTTCTATTCTATTCTATTCTATTCTATTCTATTCTATTCTATTCTATTCTATTTCTATTCTGTTCTACAATCTGTCTATTCTATTCTATTCTATTCTATTCTATTTCTATTCTATTCTATTCTGTTCTATTCTATTCTATTCTATTCCTATTCTGTTCTACAATCTGTCTATTCCATTCTATTCTATTTCTATTCTATTCTATTCTATTCTATTTCTATTCTATTCTATTCTATTCTACTCTACAATCTATTCTATTCTATTCTATTTCTATTCTGTTCTACAATCTGTCTATTCTATTCTATTTCTATTCTGTTCTACAATCTGTCCATTCTATTCTATTCTATTCTATTCCCATTTCTCATCTGTTCTACAATCTGTCTATTCTACTCTATTCTATTCTATTTCTATTCTGTTCTACAATCTGTCTATTCTATTCTATTCTATTCTATTCTATTCTATTTCTATTCTGTTCTACAATCTGTCTATTCTATTCTATTCTATTCTACTCTACTCTACTCTATTCTACTCTACAATCTATTCTATTCTATTCTATTCTATTCTATTCTATTCTATTCTATTCTATTCTATTCCAAAATCTGTCTATTCTGTTCTGTTCTGTTCTGTTCTGTTCTGTTCTACTCTACTCTACTCTATATTCTATTTTTATTTCTATTTCTACTTCTACCTCTATTTCTATTTCTATTCCATCATGGATGGGGCAGAATATTTAACATTCTCTCTCATTTTCGTCAGGATCTCCAGCAGGTTAATTAAGGCCTTTTTAAAGAAAGACAGGAATCGTAATTTCCCTGAGATCTTTCGATGCCCCAACTGTTTAATTTAAACCGACGGTATTTTTCCATCACCGGAGGCCATTTGTAATCATTTTGGTTATTAATTCACGAACGCCTTTCGAATTAATGTGTCACATTTACTCCGATCCCAAAATTACCGTTCAGATCGAGTGTTTAACCAGGTCAAGTCAACACTTCACAGCTGCATTCTCTCCATGGGCCCTTGCAAGCTCGGAGAAGATTCAGCTCCGCTCTTTTCTTTCTGTCTCTGAGTTTTATGCAAACTCAGCTCCTTTGGGGGAAGTTGATGGGTCAGAATCCCCCCTACCCCCGATAAAAGGATTGGTTCAATCACAGCCCGGTGCGAGCCACATGGACGTGACCCATAAATCAAAACTTCACTTGCTAGTTGGGAAAAAGTTTACGGCCTTGATCAGTTCCTTGATCCTTGTCCACACAACCTTGTAACCTGGTTTTGAGGGTTGATGGCTTCCCGCGGGCATGTCTCTGGGGTCTCTGAAAAGGGGGAAGAGACCCCAGGTGGCCCTGACCTGTGCCCCTTTTAGAACTGGCTGAAACATGGATTTGAGCAACAAAGATGATCAGGGGGCTGGAGGCTAAAACATACGAAGAATGGTTGCAGGGACTGGATAGGTCTAGTTGAATGAGAAGAAGGGCTTGGGGGTGACATCATAGCAGCGGTCCGATATCTGAAGGGCTGCCACAAAAAAGAGGGGGAACGATTGGATAACCATTTGTCTGAGATGGTATAGGGTTTCCTGCCTGAGCGGGTTGGACTAGAAGACCTCCAAGGTCCCTTCCAACTCCTCTCCTCTCTCCTGTCCTCTCCCCTCCTCTCCTCTCCTCTCCTCTTCTATCCCATCCCATCCTCTCTTCTCCTCTCCCCTCCCATCCCCTCCCATCCCCTTCTCTCCTCTCCTCTTCTATCCCATCCCATCCTCTCCTCTTGTCTCCTCTCCTCTTCTATCCCCTCTCCTCTCTTCTATCCCATCCCATCCTATCCTCTCTCGTCTCCTCTCCTCCTCTCCCCTCCCATCCCCTCCCATCCTATCCCCTCCTCTCCTGTCTCCCCTCTCCTCTTCTCTCCTCTCCTCTCCTGTCTCCCCTCTTCTCTCCTATCCCATCCCATCTCATCCTCTCCTCTTGTCTCCTCTCCCCTCCTCTTCTATCCCATCTCCTCCCCTCTTTTCCTTTCCTTTCCTTTCCTCTCCCCTCCTCTCCTCTTCTATTCCATCCCATCCCATCCTCTCTCCCCTCCCCTCTCCTCTCCTCTCTCCCCTTTCCTCCTCTCCTCTTCTATCCCATCCCATCCTCTCCTCTTGTCTCCTCTCCTCTTCTATCCCATCCCCTCCTCTCCTCTCCTCCTCTCCCCTCCCCTCTCTCTTCTCCTCTCTCCCCTCCCCTCCCCTCTCTCCCCTCCCCTCTCCTCTCCTCTCTCCCCTTTCCTCCTCTCCTCTTCTATCCCATCCCATCCTCTCCTCTTGTCTCCTCTCCTCTTCTATCCCATCCCCTCCTCTCCTCTCCTCCTCTCCCCTCCCCTCTCTCTTCTCCTCTCTCCCCTCCCCTCCCCTCTCTCCCCTCCCCTCTCCTCTCCTCTCTCCCCTCTCCTCCTCTCCTCTTCTATCCCATCCCATCCTCTCCTCTTGTCTCCTCTCCTCTTCTATCCCCTCTCCTCTCTTCTATCCCATCCCATCCTATCCTCTCTCGTCTCCTCTCCTCCTCTCCCCTCCCATCCCCTCCCATCCTATCCCCTCCTCTCCTGTCTCCCCTCTCCTCTTCTATCCCATCCCATCTCATCCTCTCGTCTCCTCTCCTCTCCCTTCCTCTTCTATCCCATCCCCTCCCCTCTTTCCCTTTCCTTTCCTTTCCTCTCCTCTCCTCTCTCCCCTCTCCTCTCCCCTCCCCTCCCCTCCTCTCCTCTTCTATTCCATCCCATCCCATCCCATCCTATCCTATTTTCCAAAGTGCCTGAAGGCAGGACAAGAAGCCACAGATGGAAACTAACCAAAGAGAAAAGCAATCTGGAACTAAGGAGAAACATCCTGACAGTGAGGACAATTAACCAGCGGAACCACCTGCCTCCAGAAGTTGTGAATGCTCCAACACTGGAAGTTTTAAAGAAGAGACTGGACAGCCCTTGGTCTGAAACGGCATAAGGTCTCCTGCTTGAACAGGGGGTTGGACTAGATGACCTCCAAGGTCCCTTCCAACTCTGTCATTCTGTGATTCAGTGCAATGGCTTGCCTCCAGAAGCTGTGGGTGCTACAGCCCTGGAGGTCTTCAAGAAGAAATTAGACAACTGTTTGTCTGGAATGGCCCGGGGTCTCCTGCTTGGGCACGGGGTTGGACTACATACAAGGGTTCTCAACCTTGGCCACTTTAAGACTTGTGGACTTCAATTCCCAGAATTCCTCAGCCAGCTTTGCTGGCTGAGGAATTCTGGGAGTTGAAGTCCACAAGTCTTAAAGTGGCCAAGGTTGAGAACCCCTGGTTCACTAGAAGGTCCCTCCCAACCCGGTTATTCTCTGTTCTCCAGAGATTTAGTCCTCGGAGCCTCCCAATGAAAATGAAACCCTCCTGCCTGCTTCTTGTGATCCACCTTCGTGGTCCTAGGAGAAGAAACCCAGGTGCTCTTAC